TCATCCTTCACTCATATTTGGGTTAAAATACGCACATAGTGGCGTCCCCATCTTAAATAATTGATAATTGATAATTGATAATTGAAATCCCCTCCAAGTAGCCCAAGGTCAGGTCGTGTTTTACCAATGGCCGGAGCGCGTGCATCACCTGTATCTTAGGTATCGTCACTCATGGGGTATCGTTCGATTCATATCGAAACGAGGAAACCCAACCTAACATAACCGCCACAGCGCGCAGTATACATACTCCGGCGGAGTTCATGTGGCAGCTAGGGGCGGTGACGCATTCAACTCAATCTTGCCTTCTGGGAAGCAGAACTCAAAAACCGCTAATTGCAATTGCAATCATGTCAAATTTGGACAGTAAGTAAAGTATGTTCTTTCTAATTATGTGGTTATTTTTGGCCTTAGGTAAAAAAATCCCTCTAGAAAACAAGTGGCCTCCAAATAGTACTAAAGTAACAGTACGGTATTTCCTGAAGCATGAAATGGAATTTCAAGCAGAACATGATAAATTCAATAGAAATCTTGGTTTAAGATATCTCCTAATGAGTTTTTTGGAATATATCTGTCTGGTATAAACTTCTCTGGGCAACACACTTGACTCAGAGGTCAAAGTACGTTACCGGTTGGGTCGAGTCTAGTTCTGTATCCTTTCTCAAATTGTTCTAAATAGAAAAACAGGTGCGCGCTCCACACAAAGTACATTTTAGTCTGTCGTACTCTGTATCAACGATGTATATTTTGTTTTATGTTTTTGGTTGAATGTATTATTATTTTCACCACAATACGGTTTTAAGAGAAATAACCGAACAATACATTTTCATCATTTTTGTTTAGGCCATACACACGTGAATTACAATTAATTAATGAAGTTGTTAGGTAACTTATTTTGTAATTCATTGTCATAATGCTGAAAAAGAAAATAAGTATGGGTATTAGGTATCACCAACAAAAAATCCTAAGAAACCAATAACTTATTTTTCAAAATTATTAAAGTTTCATGTTTTTGTCTTCAATAAAAATATGCGAAAACATAACAAAATATTGTTATTTTAATTCTAGAATGACCCTCGTTAATTTGTAGTGAGTTAATCTTACAATTTTTTTTAACAATAACCGTTGATTAAAAGGAAAAATTGTCTTGCGTGGATGCGCATGTACTTTATTTCTATGGCAGATCTTTTTAGGAAAACGATTCGAAAAGTAATGAATTCACAATAACTAATGTCTAGTTAACTTAACAGTTAACTAGATAACACATGTCCAGGTAAACTGCAAAAAGTTATGCATTTTATAATACACAGACAACAGCGGCTTTTGCCAACAAAGATGGCGGGTTGTCGTGTACGCCCCATGTTAACTCTCGTCAACCCGCCACCTCGCATGTAAGAGACAACGTGCCACCACGTCAACCCACCATCACTATTTTATGAGGTGGCGGGTTGTCGAGTACGCTCAATGTTCGGTATCGTCAACCCGCCACCTCGCACGTAGACGTCAACCAGCCACCACGTCAACCCGCCACCACACTAAAGAGGTGGCTGGTTGACGTGTATGAACACGTCTAAGCACCACCAGGACAACGTGCCACCTCGACAACCCGCCACCACACATTTTTCCGAGGTGGCGGGTTGTCGTGCCCGCTAGAGTCAACGTGCCACCCCGACAACGAGCCACCACGTCAACCCACCACCTCAAACTTCTTCTTATTTTTGATGGCGGGTTGACGTGGTGGCGCCTTGGCGCGTTCCCGTCTGAACCATCGGCCTCGGTGGTGTAGTGGATAGGGTGTCGGGCTGATAATCCGAATGAACCGGGTTCGAATCCCGCTTGTAGCATTGTTTTTTTGTCAACAATTTTTTTCATATCAGCAAGTTTGGTTGGTTTGGTTAGGTTATGACAGTTTAATTTTATAATTAAAAAAATATAAAATTGCATTTTAGGCATTTACCTATAATTTTATTTTATGAACAAAACTATTTTTTAGCTTAGTAAATCTTCATTCGACTTTTTATTATCATCACGTTTGGTTAGGTTATGACGGTTTAATTTAATAATAGAAAAATTATAACATTGTCTGTTTCTTCAGACGCAGCAGTTAGTGACGTCAAACGGCACCTGAGAAATCTTCCGTGTGCCCCACCGGCTATGCCGTTGGGAAATAAAAATAAATAAATAAATCTAAATAAATGGTTCTTCTTTCTTCTTCACTGTATCGTTGTGGTAATGGTGTTCGAGAACACCAAAAGAATTGTGGAAAAAGTAGCATAATATTTTGTAATACTGGAACTGCAACGGGAACGGGCTGTGACGTTATTTTGACGTGCGAATAGTCACTCATCTGATCGTAAATATTTGTGCAGTCAGCACTCGGTTTTGATGTTTGATAAATACAGTACTTGGGGACTAATTAGTACATAAGTCAAAATCATTAAATATTTGTAACTATTGTTTGCTTACTAGAAAGTGTATACACATTAAAGGTAACTATGGCAGTAGACCATTTTGGTACAAAATTAGAGCAGCTACAATAATTAAGAGCATAAATCAATTAAAATATCATCAATATTTAATGCATGGAGCCTTTTAAATAAAAAATGCAACTTACTGTTATTTTATCGTAACCAATATTTTCTGGTCCTATAGCACTAGCCTACTTTGAAAAAAAATCTAATTAGGTAAAGTTTTATATTGCTATTTTACAAATTTAGAACAAGATTACTCAATCAAAGGTAAAATTTAATACTTAAGCTAGGACAAATTGAATGGTATGCTCTAATCAATTGTCTCCTTTCAGACCAAGTCTTATCTGAGAAGCGCAACTAGTGAATAAATAAATTTATTATTATAGATTGTCTAAATCCATAGCTATTTGAAACTAGTGCTTTTAAACTATATAGCCATGAACCGTTGAGCCCTATTAATCATAAGCTTCATTTAAGATGTTTTTGCCTCCTGATCACAAATTTCTTAGGTACAGTACTAGAGTTTAGCTAGAATACCGTCAGTGTAATCAACGTCACCGATGAGCGGCGACCGATGATTTCAACCACGGCCGTCTTTAACTCCAGCTGTGCTCCAGGCCGCGGCCTGGTAGAATTGGCAACGTCGCAAGTGGTGTTGTTAAGTGACAGATGTCCCATGAGGTAACATGGCAGACAGGTGAAAGCTCATTAATTCGCACTTTATTGATTTAAATTTAAATTCATGAACATAAATTTATTAAAATATTGAAAATAAAACCTACAGAATTGAAAACCGAAAAAATATGAATTAAAAACATATATCTGTACATTTTAAGCGGAGTCAGTTTGGTCATAGTCCAGTAACCAATCTTTCGTAAATACACAAATACCATTAGCTGCTTCCAAACAAAACAGCTGTTGAAACACCACTTGCGACGTTGCCACTTCGAAGGCCGCGGCCAGGGGCCCTATTTTTGAAATGGTTGACAGTTGAGTCAATCGTCAGCACTCAACTCAACCAACAACAGGATTTGGTATTTTTGAAACCCAACAGTTGGGAAGCGAGTTGGGAATCCCTAGTTGAGTGACTCGAGGTGGAAATGTAGAGCATACGACCGCCCGAAATTCAGATGACGTCATTTTGAACCAATCACAATGCAGAGTTCTTGCGATCTTCCATTTAACCTCTTCTTACTCTAAAATCTGGCAGCTAATCTCAATCTACCATATTTCGAGACACTGAGGTAAACTGTCAACTCCGTTCTTGAGAGATTGAGGTTATGTCTTCAATCTTAGTGATTGCAAAAGTACCTTAACTTATAAAATAAACTTAAGTATTAAAAATAAAATTTACTATGGATGTTTGTTTTAGGGTGTAGCTAATTATAAGTTTAGGCATATCCTAAATACATTATTATTTGCTTTCTTCGTCTCTATTTTGAAACACATCACCTTATTTTAGTTTCCTTCATCGGTTTGCTTGATGTTATTTTAATTGTGTTTTTATTTAGGGTAAAGGTTAAAGCGGCTATTTGCCATTGCACTGAAAGCATATCGTAACTTAAATTAATTTGATACCTTTATTAGGTGAATGGTATTGAAACAAACTATGATATTGTTACCACAATCTTTAATACCTTAAATCATAGGTCTAATAACAATAATTATCTTTTAATAAGTTCAATTAGTATGCCTAGTGCATTTCAAACAAATTAAATAGTCTTATAACAAAGTAAATAGATTAAATAGTCTAGTATTGACACAGTAAATAAAATTAACAATCGCATAAAGTATTGGGTGCTAAGACATTGACAACAAATACATAACCTCTAAATCGCAATTAATTAGTAAAGTAAAGCAATAACAAAACAATATGGCGTCGACTCAAAAAGAGTAATTTTGGCCGAAAGAGAGGAAGAAGAAAGTGCAGTCAACCTCCACTCAACAGCTCGATAGGTGTTGAGTAGTTTTGGTTGTACAAGTCCACCGTCAATCGTTTCAAAAATACGAAACGATTGGAAATAGAATGACTCGACACTCAACTCAACAGTCAACCATTTCAAAAATAGGGCCCCTGGAGTTAAAGGCGGCCGTGTTTCAACCCGACAATGGGGTCACCAGGTCCAGAAGAACATAAATTCACTCCGAAAAGGTAATCAGAAAGTCTATATAAATACATAACGAAGAACTACACTTAAATACATTTTAACAAAAACACGTGTGGCCACAAATCGACTGCGTGGTGGACGGTACGGGTACATTGAGTTATTAGTCTACATTTGGTCCAGATAGACAGCGACCCGAGTAAATCATAATGTTAGGATGACACTTTATCATTGTCTGTTATCTGTGTTCTATGGTATGGCTAATTTATCCGTGGACATAGATTATTGTATTAGTACAAAAGATTATATTAATCTATGGTCCAATTATTTCATCCTGATATAGCAGCTTGGTCTGTATATTTAGAGAAGCTCTGCCATTGCCTATTTCTAGCAGAAAGCGAGTGAGTAAACCAAGCGTCTGTCTTTCTATTCTCATTCTGTCTGTTCTCTCAGTTCTCTGTTCTGTAATCTGTCTTGACCGTGCTGCATTTGTGGTTAGGATTAGAATCTATCAATTCATTATTAAATTGTAAAACGCTATTTTACGAGAATATAACCAGACAAAGCTAGAAGATACATTCACGTTGCTTTGTACATCTTCAATTGATCGGTTTGTTAAAATTCTGATTTTCTATTTTAATAATGAGTGAATTAGTGTGGGGTATTAAAAATGGCGATCTTGACATCGTCAAAGATTTCGTCGAAAGTAAGGTTAGTATTAAAATGTTATTTGTAGCCTATACTATTTGTTTCGTCATACGTTAGTTTTATATTATTTAGTCAATTTTGTGTAATCATGAACGATTTTGTGTTCAAAGTTGTGTGACTAACTTGTCTTTAATCTTATTTTGTCTTAGGGCCTAGGCCTATATCTATTTTTATAATTTTTTTTAGGCAACGGGGTGTATTAATTTATTCATCCAATTCATTCAATAAATCTTTATAATATATATAAGGTCCCTAATTACTGTATTTGTGTTTACAAAGCTAAATGCCATTGGCATTTTTGCTTTTTATGCAGGTAGCCTAGGCCTATCCAACTTGAAATTATCTAATAAATTATAGGTGTAGGCCTATGTGTTCTTAGAAAGTTTAATTACAGTAGGCCTAAGCTATTTAATTTATAACCCAATAGGAAATTGCAATTGGGCACAGCAACTGACCCCTCTCAGGAACGAACCAGAAACCGGTAAGTTATTTATTCCGTATAGAGGTGCCTCCAAACAAATTTTTAATTTCGATAGGCCTATCTTACTTTATAGTTTTTTACCTCCTGAATCCAAATATACAATTTTATGTCATCGCTGATGAATATTTCTCAAGATATCGCCGTAGAAATATAAACAACATTACAATAAACAAGGTAGGATGGATAACATTTACAAGTTCAATGGACTGTGGGTTAACTAAGTTAAGCCTACAGCTGACTGTTTTCAACCACACGACAAGCAACTGTAATTACATGTAGTTCTTATTTAGGCATGTCAGGGTGGTAGGTCGTGCTTTATGCAAATTGGTGACTGCATTAAGTGTTTTGAAGTTAGGTTACATTAGGAAGGTAAAGTTTAGGTTATAATGTATCAAGTTGTTAGTTTATGTCGCCTGCAGACTGTTTTTGTAAAATTGAAATCCTGAGAAAAACACTTCAAATTACTTTTTCAAAAATGCTTACTTTAACTTACCTAATCTAACCTAGGTACCTTCAAAGGACTTAATGCAGTCACCAATTCACATAAAGCAAGACCTACAACCCTGACATGCCTTTTCTGACATCAACAGGAGTTTGCTTACATTCTAGAGGTTTGGTTAGGTTAGGTTAGATTAGCACCATTTTATTATGTTATTTCCAAACGGCGAAATATAATTCAATAAATCATTAGGTACCTAATAAGAATAAAATACTGGTAACAATAATAAATTTTATTAAATGTGTTAACTTAAGGTAATGGTCTTAGAAAGTGAAAAGTGTAACTTAATCAGGTGATTTTCATATTGCAGAATCAGAGTTAGCTGATGTTGTCACTTCCATTTGGTTGACTATGATTGAAAACAATCAGCTGAGTTGGCTTACTTCATTTCATTCCACTTGTAAATGTCATCCATCCTACCTTGTTTATTGTAATGTTGTATATTATCACGGCGATATCTTGAGAAATATTCATCAGCTGTGAAAAATAATGGTATATTTGGATTCAGGAGGTAAAAAACTATAATGTAAGATATCAAAATTAAAAATTCGTTTGGAGGCACCTATACGGAATAATTACCCAGAAACCTCCAGATTTGTAGATGAGCACCATAGTCACTTAGCTAAACTTACCTGATCCTTTATGTTAACTTAGATAGGCCTAGGTTATTTTAACTTAGCCTAGACACACAATTTAGCACTAGCACCTCAACACCTCAGTAACTTATAGGCCTACTTGTTTCTAACGAAGATTGCTTGAAGCAGAATAACTTAAAAACTTATTCTGCAATCTTAACTCAAGGAATCATTTCCAGAAGTTAATTTGGGATTTGTCAAACAACTTTTGTGATTACAAAATTTTCAAATGACAACAGAAAAACAGAGGCAACAGATTTGCCAGTTTTTCTATGTTAGGTTAAAGCTAAAATATTCGTCAATATACCTATCTAGGTACTGTAGACAGAGGAACTGTGAGGTACTGTATCCTTCCTTTTCAAAAACATTTCTCATTCAGATTATAAAAGGCTTAGGAAAAATGTTGAGGGTTAAAAAAATAAAAACGATGTTTTAATCTAAACAAATTTTTAGCAAATAATTCTGGGAACGGCAAAACAGCCATTTGAAATAATTTGATTAAGTATAAAATTATTTCAGAACGCATTAAAGTCTAACAAACGTCAATAGAGCATAAAAATCTGCATTTAAAAATAATAGTATCATTACAGTAAGCCTATTGTCATTCTTTAAAGCTGAGCCCTTTGTTATAATAGTTAATCTGTTAAGATGTGGTTTTCTGCTGTATAATGTAGTTTCAAAGGCTGAATTTAAGGGTTTGTGTGACAAAAAATGTCATGCTCTTGAGTCTAGACCATTTGGGCCTATGAGTGTGGAGTGGAGAGGTTAGTTTTTATACTGAATCACATTTCAAATGTATGTCTAAATAAAAGAATCATGTTAAAACTAAACTATTAACTTGAAACTCTAGTTAACCTATACCTTTTTTTTTGTGTTAATGTGTAAATCATCTACATTTTCAATTTTGCCACAATAATAATGTTGTAAAACCAAATTTTTTAGGGAGCTAGGTTCCCTCTTCATTCCTAATTTAATTATCAATCATTTCCATACGAACAATCAATATTGAAAATATCTACAATAAAACTCGGAACAATGTTTGTTGCGAGTTATAAATATTATATGCTCTCTGGTTGAGAAATGTGGAACTGTCCACCGATATTAAAACAGAAACGGTATAGGCTATGCGTTTAAAAAAGAATGACGTCACTGGATGGAATCAATAATAATAATCTCTACATCTGTTTTGGACGTTTTTTGACAGTTGCATTGAAATAATAATACAAACATGATTATTTTCGGTTTATACATAATTTGCCTCCAGGATTGATCTATTGACATAAAATGAGGTTACTAACCTGTCGTCAATCAATCCTCTATTGTCTTGGATGACTAGTTTCGGGGTTAAAACCCCATTTTCAAATCTCTTCAGTCTTCAAAAGTCAAACATGTTTTCTTGCATAAGCCGTCGTCAAAATTACTTCACACATACATACGCGCGTGTGTGTTTATGTGTATGTGTGAAGTAATTTTGACGACGGCTTATGCAAGAAAACATGTTTGACTTTTGAAGACTGAAGAGATTTGAAAATGGGGTTTTAACCCCGAAACTAGTCATCCAAGACAATAGAGGATTGATTGACGACAGGTTAGTAACCTCATTTTATGTTTATTTTCGGGTCATTTGTTGTTGTTTACGTTTATGAATGATCCACACCTTTTCTATTTTATAATCTGTGGGATCTTCAAACATCTGAACATTCCGGATTCCGGTGGCGCATCGTCAAAAACTACAGAAAGTTTTTGGGGTTTCCTCACTACTCTTAGTTCAGCATTATTTCTAATCTTTTGCGGTAAAATATTCTATGGTTTTGAACAGTTGTAATTATCCCAGTGCTTAGGTTAATAAAATATCCCAAGTGTATTAAATAATCAATGATAAATGGGATTTATAGGAATATCCTTTTCTTTGTAATCAACCTTTAACTTAGGTCTACAATGGAAACTCCATGTACAAATTCGAAACTTAAATTTATTAATTATAATACAAAACTGATAGTGGATAGTGAAAGAAAAGAAAAGGGGGTTCACAATAAATTGTACAAACAGTGGGAGATGAATTTACTTTAAAAACTTTAGGCTAGGCCTATTACAATGGTTTTAATTATTTGTTCAATGTTATAATTTACTGTAAGGATCTTAATCTCAGGTGGGGTGATCGAGCAGCATTTGAATTTAATCTTGTGATATAAGCCTAATTAAATTTTGTTTTAAAATATAAAATATGTTCGAATTATAGATTGGTTGAATTAATAATAATTTTGAATAAGTTAAGCTTCTATTAGTTTTTGACTTTGAATTTGAGTACAAATGTCCAAAGGTTGGGCCTAAAAAAAGTTTTAATGGCTTCCAAAGGGGAAAATGTCTATTGGAGTAATCTCACCAAAATTGATGTCTTCTTTGAAGTAAAGTTCTTGATGTTATAAATTATGAATGTTCGTCACAAGGATGGTTCTTCTTTCAACAAATTTCACTAATTTTGTCCGAATAATGTACTTTTTTTTTATAAAATTTTAATATTAAATATGTAGTGTCTAATTTGCATCTTCATACTATCTTGGCTCTATTGGAAGTGATGATGGTCTGATGTATTGTTGCACTCACATATGTCAATGCCGACTTAATAATATAAAATTACTAGCTGACCCGGCGAACTTCGTATCGCCTATAGACATACCAGGAACAAAACAACCTGCGCAGAAACAAAAAGATCACGTGGTTCGCGCCGGTAGGTGTGGTGTACCATTCAAACCTGCGCGGCTCGAAACGGCCCAGGGTTCTTTTGTTTCTGGTATTACTATAAGTTATAGGTTTCCCTTAAGACAGACCGATGGAAAGAAAGTACCGTTACGTTTAATTTTCAAGATGATCTCGTTCGCATCGCTCAATCACGTCCTGGTTGAAGTTCGTTCGCTACGCTCACTCACCTTTGGGTTGGAGCTCGTTCGCTACGCTCACTCACCTTTAGGTTGGAGCTCGTTCGCTGCGCTCACTTGCCTTCAGGTTAGCTCGTTCGCTACGCTAACTCGCCTCCAGGTTGAAGTTCGTTCGCTACGCTCACTCACCTTTGGGTTGGAGCTCGTTCGCTACGCTCACTCACCTTTTGGTTGCAAATTAGCTGTTGTCATAAATGTAAAAGAAATAATAGTGCTGCACCCTGTTGGTAATCCTTGTAACTTTAATGCTATTGAACATCATAGAACAGAACCAACTTGTTTAATTGAAACAGCTGTTAAGATTCATTAATTCCATTTCTCATAAGGTTAACATGGGAAACTCCAGAGCCACTGGGGCGGAGCCCTTTTAAGAATTTCGAAACGGGAAATAGTTTACGTCCGATTCGCATACCTACAGAATTTACACACCAAATTTCATAACGATTGGTGAA